TTTCCATCCCTACAAAACCGGAATAGCAAATAATATTGTTTCTACACAGTTATAATGTGTAGAAAGCATCAAGAATTTGCAGCAAAAGGCAGTCAACAGAGTGAAAAGGCAACCTATGGAATGGGAGGAAATATTTGCAAATCATATATCTGATGAGGAGTTAATATGTGAATCTATAAAGAATTCCTACAACTCAACAACAAAAACAAATTCCTTAATTTAAAAATGGGCAAAGGACTTGAATAACAAGTCTTTCCAAAGACAATATATGAATAGCCAACCACCACCCAAAAAGATGTTCAATATCACTTGCCACTAGGGAAATGCAAATCCAAACCACATTTCACCTTAGACTCATTATGATGGCTACAACCAAAAACAAACATACCAACAAAATAACAGTTCACAAGCATGTGAAGAGATTGGAAACTTTGGCACTCTGCTGGTGGGAATGTAAAATGGTACAGCCACTATTTTATGTGTTTTTTTTTTTTTTTTTTTTTTTTTTTTTTTTTTGAGACGGAGTCTTGCTCTCTTGCCCAGGCTGGAGTGCAGTGGCCGGATCTCAGCTCACTGCAAGCTCCGCCTCCCGGGTTTACGCCATTCTCCTGCCTCAGCCTCCCGAGTAGCTGGGACTACAGGCACCCGCCACCTCGCCCGGCTATTTTTTTGTATTTTTTTTTTAGTAGAGATGGGGTTTCACTGTGTTAGCCAGGATGGTCTCAATCTCCTGACCTCGTGATCCGCCCATCTCGGCCTCCCAAAGTGCTGGGATTACAGGCTTGAGCTACCGCGCCCGGCCTTACAGCCACTATTTTATGAAAACAGTGTGGTGGTTCCTCAGAAAATTATAAATAGAATTACCATATGATTCAGCAATTCCACTTCTGGGTATCTACACAAAAGCATTTAAATCAGGTCTCAAAGAGAATTGTAGACCCATGTTCAGAGCAACATTATTCACAATGGCCCAAAGATAGAAGCAACTCAAGCATCCATCTATGGATGAATAAACAAAATATGGTACACATATTCAATGGAGTATTATTCAGCCTTGAAAAGGAAGGAAATTCTGAAATGTGCTACAACATGACGAACCTTGGGGACAGTATGCTAAACTAAATAAGCCAGTCACAAAAAGACAAATACCGTATGATCCACTTCTATGAATACCTAGGGTAGTCAAACTCGCAGAAACACAAAGCAGAATGGTGGTTGCCAGGGGTGAGGAAAGGGGGAATGGAAGGTTGTTTTATGAGCACAGAGTTTCAGTTTTGCCAGATGAAAAGTTCTGCAGCGTAGCTGCACCACACTGTGAATGTGGGTAATGCCACCAATCTGTGCACTTAAAAATGAGCAGGATGGTCAATTTTATGTTATGTGTATTTAACACTTTTTAAGAAAGCGTCAAGAACTGTAGGCCTCTAATTTTGGTAAGCAGAAGTATAACCCAAGGTGTCTGTTAAGCATGCAGATTCCAGGTCCCGTTCCCCAGAGATTCTGATTGAATGAAGTCTGAGTATGAGGTCCTAGAATCTGCATTTTCATCAATACCACAGGCTTATTTAGCACATTATGAACTCATTTATTTCTCTCTTCTAAAAGATCAGGGGATATTCTTTTGAATATTCTGCTCTGCTGATTAGAATCTGTTTTTGTGTGTGTGTGTGGTGTGTGTAAAGAAAGAAAGAACAAACTCGTGTTGACTCCTGCCACAGGTCCAACAAGATGGCCCTCCAGTCCTAAGGGAAGTAGGAGCTACAAAGCTACTATGTGCAACTCCTGGGCTCCAGGCCCACAGGGCTCTCACATTTCTGCCTGGACAAGCTCCGCATCTCGCCAGACGCGTGTCAAGTAAACCAAATGCATGCCCACAGGATGTCCCCAACAAGGGAGGTAATGTCAGGCACACTCTGCAGTGGCTTTGCCTCCCAGGCAGCTGGAGACAGACCTGACTCTGGCAAACCCACTGCAACTAGTGCAGACAGCACAGGGAAGCCATGATTCCCAAGGGCAGCCCAGCAAGTAGAAGGCCAAGGAGAGCCGGGGTTGAGGGGTGGGTAGTTGGGGAAATGCTGGCCAGGGTGGGCCTCGGTGAGAGACAGAGCAGCCTGGGGAGAAGGAGCTCATTCAAGAAACCCAGGCCTCCCCTCCACAACCCAACCTGCAAAGGAGGCTCTGCAACACAGTGTGCTTATCCTAACCACATCCAGCCATGTAGTCATTTGTTATCTTCATCATCATCATAGCACCTTCAACTTTTCCCAGGCTTGACTCCAGCACCATCGTTATTTTGCAGTGTGGAAAGGGTGTCTCCCTTTGAGTATGGAGCATTTCCAGCCAACTCAGACAGAGGGGCCTATGCCATTTGGATTCTGATCCCCCCAGGAGCAGATCCTCCATGAAATGGATAGAGACTACACTTCTTCCAAGGCCCTGAGAGGGTATCCAGCAGTGTGCTCACATGGTGGCGTGGTTCTGTAACATGTACAAACACAGGATATTCTTGTGTTCTTTTTCTTAAAGCTCTCCCCTCAACAGACTGTATAAACATCGGACCTGAAAAAAACACCACGATCTGCTGCTGGATGCTGAATCGCACTTAAATTTCATGAGAAGCCCCACCTCGTACAGTACCCAGTGCAGTTACATACATTAGCTCCTTCAGCCTTCTTGACTGATTAGCTTTATGGGGTAGGCTTTATTCTTAAGACACTTTTACATTACGGAAATGGGGATTCAGAAAGTTTCTGTGACTCACTTAGGGTCACCTGGGGTCCAGGAGGTAGCCTGAGAGTCAAACATGAGCTCCTAAATCCAAGCCCAGTGTTCTTTCTACTATACCATCACTTCCTGGTTGTCCTGTTAAAGACTAAATAATAGGCCAGGCGTGGTGGCTCACGCCTGTAATCTCAGGAATTTGGGAGGCCAAGGCGGGAGGATTACTTAAGCTCTGGTGTTCAAGACCAGCTTGGGCAACATAGCAAGACCCCATCTCTACTAAAAATAATAACAATTTAAAAAATAGCCGAGCGTGGTGGCAGGTACCTATACTACTTGGGAGACTGAAGTGGGAGAATCTCTTGAGCCCAGGAGTTCAAGGCTGCAGTGAGCCATGATGGTGCCACTGCACTCCAGCTTGGGTGACAGTGAGACCCTGTCTCAAAAACAAACAAACAAACAAACAAAAACTAAAAAAAAAAAAAAAAAAGACAGAAACTCTAAAAATAAATAAGCTACTCCTCTCATTCATCCGTTAACAAACCTCTCATAATAACCCCTACCGTTTACTGACTTCTTGCTATAGTAGCAGGCAGAGCTAGACTTTTCTTGCAATATTTCATTTACATCACGCCATAATCCCATGAGATGAATACGATCATTAGTTTCACTATGCAGATGAGGAAACTGAAACTCAGAAAAGTTCAATAATTTGTCCAAGGGCACAAAGTAAGCAGGAAAGCCAACACTTAAGCTGAGGTCTAATTCTAAACTCCCTTAAGCTGAGGTCTAATTCTAAACTCCCTGCACATAACATAACTCCCTGCACAATATTCCAGCTGGAAGTGGTAAAAGGCCCCTAGCAGGATGGAGACAGGGCAGGGAAAATGCCTTGAGCCTGAATTAGGAGTGTGACCTAAAGCCTAGAAGGAGGGAATGAAAAATGTGGATTACCGATGATAAGTTTAGGTTCAAATGAACCAGTAATCGCCACATCAACTGCTTCCCATGGGGCTTGGAGCCCGGGTCCCAAGCAGAAGCAGCTCTCAGAGGCCCTATTTAAAGATTCTGAGCCTGGTACAGTATCTCCAAGTACCCCACATGATTTCCAACAAGCAAGAAAGGTGTCACCATCTACTGTAACTAAACATCCTGGCACACTGAGTTTTTCAGCTAGTCAAGGCTTCACAGAGCTTATCTTTTAACTTTCTAAGCTTTTCTGGTGCTGCTGATAAGATTTCCTAGCCCTGTTAAAACGAGATGAGATCCAGCCAGCTGTCGAGAAATGTACAATGAGATTATACTGAGAAGGAACCACGAGAGACAAAGGCCCCTAAGAGGAGCTGGTCTGCTGTCTGCTTTTGTGGCAGCAATTGGAGTGGGCTCTGGTTCTTGGGTGGGGGCAGGGAGCAGGGAAGGGGTGACCGCCATTTGCCTTTTGCCCTGCTGTGGTCTTCCTCAGTGCCTTGCGCAAGAGGCTGTTGAGGGGCAGGGAACAGAAGAGTCTCATCTTTCCTGGTGAGAAGGGCTGCTGATTTAGAACAGTTGTGTGTTGGTAACAAAGAGGACAAAAGATGCTCTAGGGTCTACCCCGTTCCCTGGTGCCTGCCTCTAAGGATGTGATGTCCCCTGGTGCCATGCCTCAGCTCTTGTCCCAGCCCCTGCTCCTCGCATCTCACTGGTGCTGGAGTCACTGTAGAGTGCTCGACGTGCCCACCATGTTCCTGGATGGGTGCTGTGGGTCTCGGGTACCCAGGCTGGGCATGTCACCTTGCAGACAGGTGCCAGAGGGTTTAGATATCCTCTCTGCTGTGCCCAGATCACAGAGGCAGTCATGCCCCAGGGGCAGGTGCACGTTGGTCTGCACCCACGTGACCACAGAGAGCAGGACCCCAGGCCAGGCCGGTCAAACGACAGACTGTCCCCAGTCTGTGCCCAGGTGGGCCGCCTCCCTCTCACGCGGGCAGGGGTGGCTCTCCGCACCCTTCACCTGCCCGGGCCTCGGGGGCGCTGCCGGCACTCGGGTCCCCCAGCTTCTCCCGCCTCTCGCCGCCGGGCCGAGCCCGGGCACCGGCAGCCGCGGCGCGCTCGGGGCTCGGCAAAGGCCGCCCAGGCCTGTCCCCGCCGCAGGTCGGGCACGGAGCCCGCAGGCCTCGGCGCGGCCCGGCTCCTCCCGTCCGCCCGCCCCTCGGCCCAGGTCCCGCGCCCCGCGCCCGCCCGCCCTCCCGGCTGCAGGGCCGGCTCGGCCGAGCCTCCGCGGCGCCCGGGCCTCACTTAACTGTTCCCCGCTGGGGCGGCGGCGGCGGCGGCTGCGGCGGCGGCGGGTCCCGGCTCCGTCTCACGCAGAAGCAGCTTCTCATCGCCCGGGCGGCGCGGGAGGGGCCGGGCCCGGGGCCCAGGCGGCAGGAGCCGGCGCCGCAGCTCGAGCGCGAGCCTCACCGGGAGCAGCGGCGGCGGCGGCGGAGGGGCGGGGCGCGGCCTGGCGGCGGCGGCGACAACAGCAGTGGCGGCGGTGGCGGCTCCCTCCGCGGGCCGCGGCGGCTGGCCGGGCCCCGGGCCTCCCGGCGCTGGCGCTGGCTCCGGATCGAGGGAGGCGCCCGGCGCCCGAGGCTGGCTCGGGCAGGAGGAGGGAGAGGGAGCCCTGGCGTCCCGAGCCCGCGCCGCCGCCCCGGCCGGCACCCCGCCTCCCCAGCCTCCCCCTCGGCCCAGCCCGTCAGCTCCAGGCAGGGCCCCGGTGCGCCCACCCGGGCCTCCCCGAGCCCGCCGGCGACCCCAGTCCAGCCTCAGGCCCCCGGCAGCCCCCGGCCTCTGGAGCGTGGGGCATGGATGGTCTCCGCCCCCAGGCTAGTCTTTTCCAGGGACCCTCAGCCCGCTTAGCTCTCGTAGGCCTCGCCGTACCCAAGACCAGTCTTCGGCTCGGCTGCAGATCACTAGAAGCCCCCAGGCCCTCAGGCTAGAAGTTGGCCCCTTCTAGGGACTCTCCGCCCACCCAGCCATTCTAGGCTTCACTGAACCCTAGAATCCTTCAGCTCATCTTCCCCCACCCACCAGCTCACCTAAGGTGAACTCAGCCAGTTGTCTCAAACTAACCCCAATTTCCTAGCAGTTCTCAGGCCTCTCCTTATGCTGGTTAGATGATTTATCCCCCGAAGCCTAGAGTCCGGTTTCTGTGGCCAGCCTCAGGCAAGCATCTAGAAGAGGTTTTTAGCTGGAGTCCTACTCTGCAGTACTTGGGGAAAGGCATAAGCCAAGGATAAAATGGAGCTGGATGGTTGGGGGAGGGTCCAGAGCTTGACCCTCAGCTAGAGTGGCTGGTAGGAAAGGCGGACTCTGCGCCTTAACCAACCATGCCCCCACACGACCCAGCCAAGCACCCCGGCAGAGGCCAGCGTGTGCAAGATTTGAAAGGTTTCTTGCCAGGAGGCTGGAGCATTTATTAGGAACTGAGGACCATGCAGGAGTGATCAGCATCGATTTGCTAACGCATTGAGTCTCATTTTCACACATTCTAGGCTTTTCCATAATAGCTGTTTGATCCTAAAGAAAAGGGCTCCAAGCAGAATGGGCTGTCAGGGGGAAACATCCTGTAGGGAAGCCGTGCACTTATGCATTCCCAGTGTCTTCACTACTCAGAAATGCCACGGGTTCAGATGGCTTTACAGCAAGCCCTATCATTCCATCAGGGCACAGATCACCCCTATGTTACTTAAACTGTTACACAGGAAAAATACATAAATAAAAGAAACAAAAACAATTATTTCATTTCCCACGTTTAGCATAACCCTGATACCAAAATCCAACAGACAATACCAAAAAGAACTGCAGATTACTAACCTAGAACACGAGTCCCCCAGAGAATTTAATATTTGGTTTTTGAAAATGGGCTTCTGCAGGCAACTCGAGAAAGTACTGCATGCCGTTTATAGTGTACCTTTTGGAGAATCACGATAAGTGTTCGTATATTAAGGAAGGCCTCTGTGAAGTCCAGAAGTAAAGAAACCTGTTTGGTTTGTTTAACCTGGCATTTCCCAAACTCACCTGAGCCAGGACCACCTCCTAAAGCTCACTGATAAATCTTCAATATGTGAACCTCCACTATAGACCAACTCATTTAAGTATATAGTAGTTGTAAAACTATTAAATAAAATTTTAGCCATTTGAATCCAGTTTACTATTAAAACAACTCAAAACCCACCATGATCAAGCAAGATTTATTCCAGAGGCGCAAGAAAAATTCAGCATTAGGGAAGTTGCAAATTCATTGCATTGTTAAAGGAAAACAAATTACAGGATATTATCAATGGGATAGATGCTTTAAAAGTATTTTATAAACTTCAAAACTAAGGCCCACAAATTTCTAAAAACTCTTAGTAAACTATTATAGGAAGAAACTTTAAACTTTTAACATGACAAAGTTTATCAGAAGCTATGAACAAACATATTTAATGGTGAAACACTAAAGGTATTCTCATTTAAGTCGGGGTCAAAAGGATGCCTGATATAATGGCTATAGAATAAAGCCAATGCAATAAGATAAGAAAAATAAATAAGAAATATAAATATTAGAAGGGAAGATATAAAATTGTCATTATTTGCTTATGATTTAAGTGTTTCCCAAAAAAGAAAAATAAAAAAGAATCAACTAAAAATCACAGAGACTTTGGTAAGGTGATTGGTTATAAGATAAACACCAAAATCAATGGTTTTCCTAAATGTTAAGGGAGAAGGCTTCTCCTCCTCCCTCTTCTCCTTCTCCTTCTCCTTCTTCTTCTTTCTCCTTACCCTGTCTTATGGTACTGAAGGGAGAAGCCTTCTTTTCCATATAGAGGGACTTCCATTAGAATAAGACTCCTGGCCTCTCTCCACTCTAAGGGAAGATGAGTGAGTTTGGAAAATGTAGACAATAATAGATGCTTCTGAGTTCTCTTTTTGGATTCAGCTGACTGCAGAGAGCAAATATTACCATGTGCTCTCACTATGGGGTAAGTGAACCTGTTTCAGAGACAGAGTGATACTATTGTCCTGCACTACCCGTCACTATAGAAATAAATCTACTCAAATCAGGGAGAAATATAGCAAGCCCACTTAGCTACAGATCAAAAGCTACTTTTTCCAGTCAGCTTCATCAAAAATTAAGGTAGTATTTTTGTCTTATATCTCTTTCCTGTGTCTATGCCCCAGTTTGTTCCAAACTTAGAATAGGGAGGGAGGTATTACTTATAGAGACCTCCAAATACAACACTAAATATCAGTTATTTCCATTTAGGAAGTATGATGAAAAAAAAAAAACATATTCACATTAGCAATGAATACTGTAAAGTATATACTAGGCATAAGCTTAACAAGAAATGGCAAGGTCCATGGAAAGAAAACTGTGAAACCTGACTGAAGGACATAAAAGAAGATCTTAATAATTGGAAAAATATAACAAATCCCTGGGGAGGAAGTCTCAACAGTGCAAAGATGCCATATCTCCCCAACTCACTTTATAAATTTAGTAAAATTCAGATCAAGGAACCAATATGATCTGAGGGGTGAGGTGAGATGGAACAGGAAGAAATTATTTTAAAATTTACCTTGATTGGCCCGAGTGTGTTGGCTCATGCCTATAATCCCAGTACTTTAGGAGGCCAAGGTGGGAGGATTGTTTGGGGCTAGGAGCTTGAGAATAGACTGGGCAACATAGTGAGACCCTGTCTCTAAAAAAATTTTTTTTATTGAGCCAGGTATGGTGGTGTGTGCCTGTGGTCCCAGCTACTTGGGAGGCTGTAGTGGGAGGATTACTGGAACCCAGGAATTTGAGGCTGCAGTAGGCTATAATCATGCCACTGCACTCCAGCTTAGGCAACGGAGCAAGACCTTATCTCAAAAACAAACAAATGAACAAACAAACAAAAAAGAAGAAACTTATCTTGATAAATAAGTATGAGGAAATACCCATGAAATTTTTGAAATGGAAGAATAATGATAAAATGTTGCTCTAACAAATATGAAAATGTAATGTAAACTTCAGAAGAAACTATGGGCCACTAGTGTAAGAATATACACTTTTATCATATATTAAGTTCTGTTTACAAATGCTTTGTTTTTATCCATTGATCTGTTTGTGTGTGTGCGTGTGTGTGTCTGTGTGTATACATATATATTTTACTTTAAGTTCTGTGATACATGTGCAGAACATGAAGGCTTGCTACACAGGTATACATGTGCCATGGTGGTTCACGGCATGCTAGACTTTAAGCCCCACTTGCGTTAGTCATTTATCCTAATGCTCTCCCTCCCCTTACCTCCCACACCCCAACAGGCCCCACTGTGTGATGTTCCCCTCCCTGTGTCCATGTGTTCTCATTGTTCAACTCCCACTTATGAATGAGAATATGTGGTGCTCGGTTTTCTGTTCCTGTGTTAGTTTGCTGAGAATGTGTATATATATATATATATATATATATTTTTTTTTTTTTTTTTTTTTTTTGAGACGGAGTCTCGCTCTGTCGCCCAGGTTGGAGTGCAGTGGCCGGATCTCAGCTCACTGCAAGCTCCACCTCCCAGGTTTACGCCATTCTCCTGCCTCAGCCTCCTGAGTAGCTGGGACTACAGGCGCCCGCCACCTTGCCCGGCTAGTTTTTTGTATTTTTAGTAGAGACGGGGTTTCACTGTGTTAGCCAGGATGGTCTCGATCTCCTGACCTTGTGATCCGCCCGTCTCAGCCTCCCAAAGTGCTGGGATTACAGGCTTGAGCCACCGCGCCCGGCCTTGAGAATGTGTATATTTTTAAATAAGTATTCCTATAAAAACAAGTATATCCATTGTATATTATATATCTATTGTATGTAATAGGAATAGCCATTTTAATCTATTGAGCTATTTGTATATACGTATAGAAATAAGATATACAAAATTGTATATTTCCATACAGCCTACTCCAAACCATATTATCTGGCCTAGACCACTCTAGTGATTTCCTTACTGGTCTCCTGGCTTTGCCCTACCCAAACAATGGAAAATAGCAACTAGAACAATCATTAACAAATAATAATAGGTCAGGTGTGGCGGCTCCTGCCTATAATCCCAGCATTTGGAGAATGCTGAAGCAGGAAGATCACTTGAGACCAGGAGTTCAAGATCAATAAGCATAGTGAGACTCCATCTCCACAAAAAGCAGTAAATTAGCCAGGCATGGTGGCGTGCACCTGTAGTCTCAGTTACTTGGGAAGCTGAGGCAGGAGGATCACTTAAGTCCAGGAATTTGAGGCTAAAGTGAGCTATGATTGTACCACTGCATTCCAGCCTGGATGACAGAGAGACCCTGTCTCTAAAAAAATAAATAAATACTTTTTTAAAATTAAAAAAAAAAAGGCTGGGTGCAGTAGCTCACATCTGTAATCCTTGTATTTTGGGAGGCCAAGATAGGAGGATCACTTGAGCCTAGGAGTTGAGACCA